GAGTTTGTTGTTGAACCTGATTTATTATAAGTTTCAGTTTTTTTCTCAGGAAAAAAAAAAAAAAAAAAAAAAAAAAACATGTATCTGGCTCCTGCCAGGGGCATACTCTGAAAAATCCCAAGTGAGTGTTCGAAAATTCCACAGCCCAAGGAAACAAGCCAGCTTTTGGCTAGCTGTGGATCCAGTACTCTGGCCTTGCCCAGTGTGGGAATCAGACATCAGGGACTTGAAAATGGTGTTGAAAATGCTAACTGGTGTTGTTTGTATAATGGTGTGCAGTCCTTTGACCTGTGCATGCAGAAGCAGCTGAGATGGGAGTGAGTGAGACATGTCTGCAATCCTGAACTAGGGAGATAGGGGCAAGAGCATCAGAAGATCAAGGTTCTCCCCAGCTATGTAAATAATTCAAGGTCATCTTCTGCTACATGAGACCCTGTTTATACACAATCAAAAAAAATGTACAAAATTTAGTTGTCAGTGCTGATGAGGACATTGGTGGGATTAAGGTGAAACAGTATATAGTTGTTAACAGGTGCTTCCATTAACAAGGGGCAACAAATCAATCCTCATGCTCCCTGCAGTTTGGTCATCAAGGAGAAAAGAAATCAAAAAGGGAAGCCATCTAACAGGAAACACAGGAGTCAGTGCCCATCATACAATTCCACAGAAAGGCATAAGTGAGAAGACAGATATGCAAATGTATGCATAGGTGACGTGTATTTGGAACTTTCCAGAAATATATATAATGAAATGGGTGTCGTGGTTACCTTATCTGTCCTAAGATCTGTGATGATGAGTTCCTGTACTTAAAAGTGAGATATGGGGAACTAGAGAGGTGGCTCAGCAATTAAGAACATGTACTGTTTCTCCAGAGGACCCCGGTTCACTTCCCAGCACCCACATCAGCAGGCCACAATCCCCTGTAACTCCAGCTCTAGAGAATCCAATGCCTTCTTCTCTTCTCTATAGGTGCCTGCAGTCATGTGAACACACATGTAGACATAATTAAAAATAAGATTTAAAAAGTTTACATGATGAAAGGTAGAGCGGAGTGTGGCTTGGCTGTGGAGTGTTTGCCTAGCACGCTCACACTGTATTTCCTCAGGGAAATGAGGCAAATGAGAGCAATGGTGGACTCCGAAAGCAAAGAGGACTACACGGTTGGCTGATGCTTTCCCTTCCCATAGTTTTCGCTTGAAATATTTTATGCCAAATATGAAAATAATTAAAAATTCTAACTTTTTTTTTACAGCTCTTTTACTGTTTTCTAGAATATTTCCATCAGGAGAAGGAAAGTAATAATAAAATCAGATGTAGGAACAAGGACATGATAGAACCCAGCTGCAAGGACCTGGTGGCCAGTAGACTGGAAGACAATCCCAAGACTTCATGGTTTCGAGTTGCTGCTATGTGATTCCCACACTGGGCAAGGCAAGAACACTTGACCCACGACCAGCTGAATGCTGGCTCTTGTTTTCCCAAGGCGGTGGCATTTGAAGACACTCTCTTCTGGCTTCCCAGAGGGGTTGGGGAGCCTCCAGCATGAGCTATGACATTTATAACTCCCGCTGGAATTTCCATGTCCCCAGCCCTCGCCTAGCCCAGGGGATGAATCATGGCTTCTTAGAATGGTGAAGCCATTTTGGAAACAGCTGCCAAGGAGCAAATGCACTTAAAAATAGCTCTCACTCCCTGAAAAATGAATTGCTTATTTTAAGAAGAAAGAGTGGCTTGAATCTGTCCTGCTTCCGTCTTTATCTCCTGGGCATAGTGCCAGGGCATCTGAGAAAGGCCTGCCTGTCAGATGGGAATGCCATCTGCAGTACATAGTAGTGCCCACAATGGGGTTGGCATCTCTGGGCCAGGGCCAAGGGGTGAGGTCTGAATCCTCCTCCTGAGACCTGCATCCCAGGAGGCCTGGACTGTGGGGTGTGAAGTTCTGCTTCTCCACTGGACCTGGCTTGCATTACTTTCTTGTATTTGTGACCAAACAGCCAACAGAGTCCATGGGGAACAGCAGCTGGCCATGGAGGCATCTATCTACATCAAAGTGGCAATCAGGGAGGAGAGAGACTCGGTGGGAGGTGGGACCAGGCTATTGCCCACAAGCCTAGTGTCCATGATCTTATACCTACCAGCTAGTGTTTAAGTCTGGAGGATTCTGTCCCTCAAATGGCACCACCAGGTGAGGACCAAATGTTCAAACCACTAGTCCCCATTGTGGGGCGGGGGTGGGCATAGAGGCTGAGGATCATGTAGGAGGAGGGCACTGAACTTTGTTCTGTTTTTTAGAGGGAAGCTAAGCTTGCCTGATTCAGATGAATGGGTAATGGTGTCTTGACTCAATGTCAGGCAAGAGATTCTTTTGGCATCAGGTGACGGCCCCCACCACCACCATTGCATTTGCTCTTGATCTGTGAAGCTCTGTAGCCAAGCCACAGAGGCAAGGATAGGTATAAAGGACTGATGTCAACCCTGTTGTACTGTGTTCTACGCTGTAGCGGATCATCCAGCCTGAACTGGACTGTCGGGACTGCAAAAGGACCTGGGTGTCTTAGAAGGGTGGGGAGGGGCAGTGGGCCGCAATAGGGTCAGGGAAGTAAAAAAGGACTAAGTGGGGAGGAGTCTGGGTGAGCTCTGTTGGAGTATCACAGCCAGGCTGCTGCCCGCAGTGTGTCTGGAATAAACAGCCTGTTCTTTCAGCGTGGCCTTGGGTTTTCTTGGGCAGGCTCATCCTGAGCTGTGAGATGACATTGATGTCAGTATTTGTTCATGTCTTAGAAGGCAAAGACAAGCCCAGTGAACCAGGACTTCCTAGGAGCTAACTGGGGCTCGGTCACAGAGGCAATCGTGGCCTTTCCCTTTTCTTTCTTTTTCTTTTTTTGCCAGCATTTTTAAAATTTAATGATTGCCTTTCTGAATGGGGTGAGATGGAACATCAATGTCATTTTCATTGGTATCTCTCCAATGACTGGAGAGTCCTGTTTGTTGGCTGTTTGTGTTTCATCTTTTGAGATCTTTCTGCTTCATCATCGTTTGTTTAATTTCTTGTTTCAGGTCTTTGCTGGTTTTGTGTATTGAAGACAGTTATCCTGTGTTCCTAATGTTGTTTCTTCATTCAGTTAACTTTCCTTGGCCATGGTGACACCTCTTAAGTTCACGACTCTTCGTTTGTCAATTGTTGGCATTTCCTCAGCAAATGGGAGCCTTATTTAGAGGGCTTTGTTTTTGTTTTGTCTTTGTGCTTGTTTGAGGCAGGTATGTGTAGCCAAAGCTGGTCTTGAACTTGCTCTGTAACTGTGGCTGCCCTTTAACTTCCAGTTCTCCTACCTCTGTCTCACAAGTATGTGTGTTAGCTCCCCCGATGGGGCCCGTAGGGGAATCTGTTTCATGGCCTTTTCCTTCCCTTCCCTTTCCTTCCCTTTCCTTCCCTTCCCTTCCCTTCCCTTCCCTTCCCTTCCCTTCCCTTCCCTTTCCTTCCCTTTCCTTTCCTTTCCCTTTTCTTCTTTCCTTCCTTCCTTCCTTCCTTTTTTTTTTTTTACTTTCCATACTTCCACCTTGCCTCCTCCCTTTTCCCCCTCCTCTTTTTAAACAGGCTTGCATATCCCCCAGCTAGGGTCAAACTTCACTGTGTAGTGAAGGATGACCACCCTTGAATTCCTCCTGCCTCAGCCTCCCCAAGGCTGGGATTGCAGGCACCACCAGGCCCATTTTATGCAACAATGGGAACGGGACCCAGAGCTTCAAGTATGCTAGGCATGCACTCTACCAATGCCACTACCCCAGCCTAGGTGTTTCCTCAACTCATGTTAGCTCTTTGTAAGGAGATGTGACCTTGCAAATAGCTCAATTACAAAGAGCTATGAAGTTTAATCAAGAGTTAGAACTACTTCCTTTACAAAGATGAGCACTCGGAACTCAGAGAATCTCTGGCTTTGTGGCATCAGTAGAATTCTGATGATTTTAAAACAAAGAGAAGTTTGCAAACAGGACCAGCTAGTCCACAGACCCACACACAGTGACATGAGACGGCACTGTGGGAGGGTCCCTGAGCCTGGGGCTGGAATTAGCACCTGTAGGTTCCACTCAGAAAAGCAGGTTGTAAAGTTGTGTGTGTGTGTGTGTGTGTGTTTTAAATATCTATGAAATGCACAGATTCACAGTCCCGGTTCTGTGGTTCACTGTAAGCACAGCACAAGGTGTCCTTGCTTTAAGAAGTACACGTTTTCCTTCCTCCTTTCACTTATGAAGTAAGAGCCTCAGCTGCCAAGGGCAGAGCAGCCCCACTTCAGAGCACCATGTGTGTTCTTTGATGTCACACCCTGCACCCTGGATTCTGGCCTCTTCCCAGGCCAGGCTTGGCTTGCTGCAAGGATGACATCCTTCTTACCCTTATGTGTTTCGCCGTGTGACACTCACTCACTAAGGGCGATGTAAGGACAACAACAGGACACTGGGACAATTGAGGGCTTGATTGTCACAATCAGCTGGTGGTCCTGTTCTTTCTTTGGGAGCAGTAATGACTTGTTCCCCTCCCTGGTGGATGATTTCACTGGAGAGGTCCCTGTCCCATTATGTTTACAGACACTTGGCATAGCAACTGCTGCTTTCTTTCCTTTCATACTAAGACATGAACTAAAATTAAGCCTGGAACACTGGCATGGGTAATTACTGAATGGGTTCTAAGGAGTTACAAGCACACGTCCCTGCTAGCCCAATGAGCAGACCGTCTTCGTACACAGCCACTCAGAGACTCAGCCTCCCTGACTACATAAACAGAATACACTCCTCCACTGGCAAGTCCACTGCCAGAGCTTTTTCACCGAGTGAACTAAAGCAGAAAACACATTTTAGTCTGGGATACAGGGGAAAAAATGAAACAATAACCTGGGGTGGGGGTCAACTGGTGGCTTGCCTAGCATGTCCAATGTCCAAGGCAAGGGGTCCCAACTTCAGCACACACACACACACAAAATCCAAAAAATAAAAAAGAAATACTTGTACCTACCTGGTAGGGGAGATACCATGATCATGATGATTATGAAAGTGGTTTTCCCAGGGTGAGGCTTTTCCATTACACTCCGGATGTGCTAACCCCTGGGATTTCCCCAAATTTGGGGAACTGAATAATTTGTGGTAGTGGGGGACTGCATTCAAACTCTCCCCTGTTTTAAAAGAACAGAAAAAGAGATACTGAGGTGTCACACCCAGGACTGGAGGAGTGGCTCAGCAGTTAAGGTTAAGAGTACTGACTGCTCTTGCAGAGGGCCTAGGTTCAGCTCCTAGAATCCACATGGTGACTTTACAAGCCCCTGTAATGCCAGTTCCAGGAAACTTTTCTGGCCTCCATAGGCACCAGGTGCACACTTGGCACACAGATGTGTGTGAGAGCAAAACACTCATACACACAAATAAAATATGAAAAAAAAACTTTAAAAAAAAAAAGAAGTGTTGAACTCATGTGAATAACCCAGGGAGACAGCATTCAGAACTCAGCCTTTGGTAGGGGATGGATGCATTCATGTTTTCATGGGCGTCTGGGCAAGTGCTGTGGTTGGAGGCAGGAGAGATGGCTTTTGGTGGGTTTCGGCTCTTTTCCAGCTTGACTGTCTCACAACATGGAGACTTGATAGTCACAGTTCTCCAATGATGATGGCCAAGTTCTCTTACTTTGTACCCAGGGCATCCTAATAGCTGCACAAGGGAGAGGCATGTGCCCTAAGCAAAATGAGCTAATAAGCTCTCTGGCTAACTGAATAGAAGCCGAGAGAAGTTGGATCCTGAACAGAGATTCCCTGGAGAGAGGAGGCAGCTTTCAGAGCACAGCACCCAAGCTCCAGTGCTGTGGATTCCTATACATTTCACCTTTAAAGCAAGCATTTCCAAGTGTGTCTCCTTTAGGGTTTCCTCCATTTAAAAATGCCCCCCTTCCTTTGTAAACCTCCCAGGGGTAGAAGAAAGGGAGAGATAGAGTTTGGTGGCAGGGTGGCAAGGGGAAAGTGAAGAAATCACTACTGGACCACACTGGGATTGATTCCCTTGAGATGGCTGAGCCTCAAGGCTTGACCCCTCTGCAGAAGCCCTTATTTGACAACTTTGGAATCATTTGAGTGAGAACAAAAAGCCAGGGGGCTGGAGAGTCAAGAGTGACTGCTGTGCAACCATGAGTACTGGAATTTGAATCCTGGCATCTGCATAACAAGCTGAACATTCCTCCAGACCTGTAACCCCATCTCCAAAGTAGGAGGAGATGGAAGGGTCTCTTGAGATTGCCCACTTTCAGCACAATTGAGAAAATACAGGCTACAGGGTTCAGGGAGAGACCCTGCCTCAAAGGAATGGATGGAGAGTGATAGAGGGGACACCTGATGTCCTTTTTACCGCCTCTGTGTGCCTGTACTCACACACAGACACATGGCTGTGGCAGCAAGCCAAATGAACGAATGGATGAATGAATGAAATGAAAGAGAAGTTGAATATTTTGAAGCAGGGAAAAACATCAAAATGCTGTCACATTGATGGAAAAGGAAAGTAAGAGCTGGAAGGGGAGAGAGAGAGAGAAAAGAGAGGAGGGGGAATTGGAAGGGGAGGGACAGAAAGAGAAGGAGGAGAGGGAGGGGGCGGGAAGATGGGAGGTACCAGCAGAGAGGAAAGGGGGAAAGGATAGAGGAGGGAGGAGGGGAGAGGGAGGAGGGAGGGAGGCCCCTGGCAGCAGTTCAAGTTCCGGAACACTAATAAGGAGCAGATTGGAAGGCTTCGTGCCCATTTACATTTGTAGACGCCCCATAATCACTTGTCAAACACAAGACTCTCCCCCAAAGCCAAGTTTTGCACATTTCCTAAACACATTTCTTTTTCTGGAGATGAATAGGGGCTTTGGACAGGTGTGGAGTTTTGATAACTCTGCAGACTGTTCTGAAGCTTTTTATTTGTTGCCAAACATCCATCTGTCCAAGTTGGAGTTTGTTTTTCCTTCTCTCTTTTTTTTTTCCTTACAAAACCTGAAATTTGAGGTGCAACTGTTTCCTGTCTTGGGACCCTACTTCCGCAGTCTTCCTCGACTATAGCCTCCCCTCCTTGTTTTTCTTTTAGCTGGGTTTATTTGTTGTTTTGTTTTGTTTTGACACAGTGTCTCCCTAAGTGGCCCAGGCTGGCTCCTAACTCAGGATCCTCCTGTCCCAGCCTTCCCAGTGCTGGGAGATGGGTGTGAGCCACAATGCTGCCCTTTGCTTCCCCTCCTGCAAACACTACTAACCCTCCTTGCTCGCTGTGCAAGCTAAAGCACAAATGGGAAAACCCCTCCTGAAGCCACTGTCCTTGGCCTTGAGAGGAAAGTGGAGTACAAAGTGAGGAGGAAGGGGCCACACATACCATGTGCCTCAGCATCAGCCTGGAGGGCGTGCCTGTGGGTGCAATGGTGGGGTCACAGGTGCCAAGTCACCACAGGCAAAACAGGCTTCCAGGAAACCAGGGTGTGGACAGAGAGGCAACTCCTGAAATGAAGTCATGGGTCTGGGAACTCAGAATGTCCCACTAGGGACACGGGCTCAGGAACTTACACTTGGAGCAAGGCCAGTTGGTTCGCTCTGGGACTGCTGCTCGACTTCCTGCTGTTCTCACCTCTTGAGACCCTTTGGGGTGCTTAGTTCACCTCTTGATCTTCTTTATTGACCCCCCCCCACACACACACATACACACTTTTAACACAAATCTCTGCAGTTTCTCTACTTTAGGACAACTTCCCAAATTGTTCTTTGAAGCCTTTTGTGTGGCTGTCACAGATCTTGCAATTTTGAGCATGTCTGTCCCCTCACTAGAGTCAGTCTTAAGAGGAAGATGCCATTGGGTGACACAGTGATGACGCATACCATCACACATTTATCAAGCACCTCAGAGTGTACAATGCCAGACAAGAACTCTAATGTACACTAGCAGATCATGACATGACCATATAGACACATTGGTAGTTACACATAACCCTCTCTGCTGAGAGTTGTCAATACTGTGTGTGGTTATATGTGTGCAAAGGGGGCTGGGGTATGTGGCAACTCTCCATATTTTCTACTTGAAGCTGAAGCTTCTTTGAAAAAGTAAATCTAATAAAAACCTCAGTTGGTGGTTTCCCATTGCAACATTGGTGTCAGTGCCAGTGAGGATGAGGTTCCGTGTCCCAGTTTTCCATCTTCCTTTGCTTGGAATGTTCTGTTCTTCCTACTTGTTGTTCCCCTTTGGCTTGGCCTACACCAGCTCCTGAAGCTTTACTGGCTTCTGGACTGGGCTGGGAAGGGCCTCTCCATAAAGATGTCAGAACTGGATGAGGGGGATGGTTTGGTTTAAAGCATAAGGATGATGACCTGAGTCCAGGACTCCAGTACCCCATAAAGTCAGACATAATAACCCCCCCATACTCCCAGTGCTCTTAAGGATGAATGGGAAATGGAGACAGGAGAGTCCTTAAAAAGTTGAAGGCCAGCTAGCCTAGGACACATAGCAATGAGACAAGAGATCCTATCTCAAACAAGGTGGAGAGTAAGGACCAACACCCAAGGCTGTCCTCTGACCCCCACATGTATGCTGTGGCATCCCCCATGTGCATGCACCCATCATGTGCACACTAGAGGAAGAGAGAGAGAGAGAGAGAGAGAGAGAGGCAGAGACAGAGAGACCAAAATCAACCAAACTATACACTATACAATTAACTCTTGAGTGTCTGTCTTCCGTCCTGATAGCTGTTTCCAGCATGTAATGCAGAGACATTGAGTAGACATGTGAAGAATACCCAAATAAAGCAGCTTGATAGTTACAATGAAGGGCCACATTAGTTTCCTATTTAATCCAGTCAGACACACTCGGAAGACAGGCTTATTTACTTTCTTTTATAAAGAAAGCTGAGACTCAGGAATGCTAAGTGAGGCCGTGGAATGTAGGGGAGCCAGAATTAAAGTCTGTGTATGTCAAATTCACCTTGAAAGGTCCCTCCCACTGTGCAGCGGTGTCAATCTCCATCATTCAGAGTTCATCCGGCCTTAAATACATTCTACACACTGGTACTGAAGCTTCTGTGGGTGGTCGGGTGGGGAATTACAAGTGAAGCTATTAGTGAGGTTCGGGCAAAGTGTCCACATCTTCCACGAAAGCCTTGGGCACTTTACTATGAAGGTATGCCCATAAACATGCAGTGTGCACATGCATGAGTGGAGACACATGGTGTACTGGCTTGTGGTTTTTAATCTGTAAAGCTATCATAAACATCCTGTGGATTCACAGTTGGCTTGCAGATTTTGCTAAGTGTACTCCACGTGGCGGGGGGTGGGGGGTGGGGGGCTCTTCTTCACAAGGTAAAGAATGATAGTCTGCTTGTGTTTAGACATACTGGGGAGGGAGGGGATGGGTGGAGCCCTCACCCCACCCAAGGGTTCAAGCAGAGGCCAGAGCAGCAGCAGCCTTGCAAGGGGCCTTCATGGAGGTGGATTGCAGCCAATGAAAGCTACCCATAGTGACAATGTAACCATCCTGCCAGAGTAAAGACATTCAGAGGAGAGACAATGTGCTCCCCCATGTGTCCATCCATTAAGACAATGCCCGCCCACCCCCACCAAGAACTGGAATTTTCCCAGCAATATTCATGTTGGGAAAAGGAAAAGGGTGAAGCTTGGTGCCAGCCAGAAGGGGGACTTGTCTCCCAGGAAGAGACTTCACGCAGTTCTGATAACTTATCAGAACACCCGGACTGGAGCTGAGAGGGTGATGGGTCAGTGATGGGTGGGACCACACCTTGACCAGCACTGCTTAGCTATGTACACCTTTCTCTATTTAATGTTAAACCTCTTCCAGGGCCCTGAAGAACTTGTGTATGTGTCACTGAACCTGTTTGCCCCCCTTGCCAATGTGGCTGTTGAATAGATCCCTTGTTTTTTATGATTGCTCTTCTCCCTTGGGCGGCAGTTTTACTCAGGAGCCTAGCCCGTGAGAAAACACCAGAGTGCACAGGGGAGGGGACTTATTTTGTCTCCTTGGCTTTCTGAGGGTTCCCCTGCAAAGTCACATCCTGATCCTGACCTTTAGCCACCCCTTTCTTAATGCTAAAACATATACAGAAATCTAGGACTGTCAAAGAAATGCCTTAGTTCCCACAAATCTGAATGAGTCATGGTATAGGGAATTATCC